AAAACATTATTTGGCTATGTTAGCTAAAAACATTTTGATTTCTTTTCAACTTATTTAGCTGAAAAAAAAAAAAAAACCCTAGAAGAGAATCCATCTTATTTGGCAAATACTAAAAAACTACAGTTTTTTTTTCAAAATTGTCTGTCTTTAATGTAGCTTTTTTCAATTTTTATTAAGATTTTGTACTTTTGGGGTATTTCCAGTCTAAAATGATTTAAAAAGTAAAAATATTTTGAAAAAAAAAATTCGAAAAATATTTGCTAAAGACAAACAAAATTTCAAACCCCGTCTAAACTTTCCCTATAAAAAAGAAAACAACTCGTGATCAACTTTTTAGCAACAACTTTATCTTAAAAAATAAATAATAAAAAAACAAATAAACTCATAAAATATATCTATCTATACTATATATTAAGAAAAATGAGGTTTCTAATGAGAAGAGCCTTATGAAGCTCAAAACCTTCAAACTATTTTTCTACAATTTTTATTTTTTAAATAATTAAAAAATCTTTTATTGGCTAATGTTTGTTGAATCATTAAAAAAAATCTTATTATACCTTGATTAACACATTTCAAAAGGATAGTTAATTAATCCATTTAAAAATTCAAAAAGGAAATTAACTAATAAATTTTAAAATTAAAATTTTTGTACCACTAAAATATAGGAATCAATTCACATCTTCCATAAAAAAAAATCTCTTGATGTTTAATTTTTTAAATAATTAAAAAATATTTTATTGACTTGCTTTTATTGAGACATTTTAAAAAAATCTTATTATGCCTTGGTTTACACATTTCAAAAGAAAAGTTAATTAATCTATTTAAAAATTTAAAAAAGAAAACTTAACTAATCAATTTTACAATTTAAATTTTTGTACCACTGAAATATGCAAATCAATTCACATTTTCCATAGATTTTTTCTGTTGATGTTTAATTTTTTAAGTAATTAAAAATTTTATTTTTTATTGATTAATAAAAAGAACCGTAAATTTTAAGATTTTATATATATGCATATATTTATATATATTAATGATATCAAGTTATTAAAATATGATGAATTATAGGTTTAAACCAATAATTGTTAAAAAAAAAAAAATCGACTCAAACTAGATTTTTTAGGCTCATTTTTAATATTTCGAATATTAGAACCTTCAAATTAGCTCATACCGGTCACAAACTGAAAAAGATAATTTTTAATAATTAGATGAAGGTAACTTTGAAATAAATATTGAGTCGAGTAAATTCTAGGTCACTTCTAATGTTTATTCTAACACCATAAGTTAATGCTAATTCATTTTTACGTAAGAGTTATAACATAAGAAAATTTACAATTTTGAGTAGATAAAATTTTAGACTTCGCAAAATAAAAAAAATTAGTACTTAACAAATATAATTTATTACTATCATATGGTAAATTAAAATTGCGAAACTTATAAAACGAAATGTATTTATATTTTATCGTAAATATAATTTTTTAATTTATTCTTTAATTTTTACTAATTAAATTAGGACATGCAGTTTTTTATTAAGAATTTAGAACACACAATTAATGATATTTAAATAAAAATCTTCTCCTATGTGTAACTCTAATAAAAATGAATAAAATTTAATTGATTATAAATCATTTTTTCTATATAATTTCAATAAATTTTATATTATTATTTTAATTTAAAAATTAATTTTTAATTATTTATTTATATCCTTACATAACACGGATAATATGCTAATCAAACTAACCCAGACGCACATAAACACCTAATACTCCTTTTGTTTATGCAAATTGTCAACACATCAAATTCTGTAACAATCTTTCCTTTGATGTTTCTGTGACCCAATCTATTACATAAAAAAATATGTTTAATTTATTCTTTTCACCATCAAACCTTTTACTCTAATTTCATTGGGGTCTATCATCATTTAATCTCACTAATTAAGTTTTTAAATTTCAACTGCTATTTCAATATAATTCTCTCATAACTTATTATTAAAAATTTAGACAGAAAGTGTTTTCATGAAGCCATATGAGCGCATTTTAGGAGCATTACTGGGAAAAAAATTATATAAAAAACCTACACTTTTTATCATATTATTTTCATTCGACTTCCACTTTCATCGCCTTCACTCAAATTTCAAATGGTGGGGTGACGGGAAGATCACATTGAAACAAAAGTTGAAGTTTGAGGAAGATAAAATAATAAAGTGAAATTGGGGTGAAAAATTAAGGGTAAAATGTGTAATTTACCCAAAAGATAAATTGACAAATTTCAACTAAATTGAACATCCCAATATAAAATATAAAAATAAAAAACCAGCAGATGAGTTTTAGAAATCCAATAAAATCCGTATGAAAACAGTCCAACACAAATACTCTTGAAACACATAGTTATTAGTGCTATAATTGAACATAACAAAAATAAAAATGAAAAAGCTCATCAACTTGCCATACCTATCAGCTGTATAAAACTTCTAAATTGGCTCCAAAAAACATTCTAAAATGGTTAAAGAGCAAAGGGTGAGATTGATGTTACCCAATAGGAGTTATAGGCACTAAAACAATCATACTATATGTAGCTTGATCCACTGTGCACCTTTTACTATATCTATCAAGTCCTTTTTTTTTCTGTTTAAAATTGCATGTAGCATTAAATACAAGATGAACATATATTTTTCTCTTTTACCTAAAAAACATGAGAGAGAGAGAGAGAGAGAGATGGGCCTCTAAAATCATTAAAAGAGCTTGCACTCAATCACATTCAGTGTTGCTTTTTTTGTAACAGCTGCAATCCCAGAGCAAAACACTTTCAAAAACACACCAATTCAAAAAAGGTTTTTCTTTTTCCTCATACCACTAACCAACCATAAGAAAATTTACCACCTTTTGTTCTCTCTTTCTGGATTGTAAAGAGATTAGAGTGTTTGCAATCCCACAATGCATTTCATGGAAATGAAAAATGTTACTTTTTTGTGCACCATCTACTGATTTTATTTTGTTTTCAAGCATTTTGTGAACTGTTTTGTTTCATTTCCATCTAACATTGTTTAATGTCTTCATAGTTTGTGTCTGAACTCCAATTAGAAGTCTTAAAGCCCCTTTTGCTAAAACTTGTTGGCATTTTTTTTTTTAATCAAGTTGAATTTTGAAAATGTTGGTTGTTTGTTGTTGTCCTTTGACATTTGTTGTTTGGTAAAAATTTTCAAAATTTTAGCTTATTTGTATTTTTTAGCTCTTTGGGTTAATATTTCAAAAATTATTTTTAAATGGGTTTTCATTTGTTTTTATTGATTTTTGTTTTTATATATGTTAGTCAAATTTTATTACTTTTTAGATATACCTAATCTAGATGCATCTAAAAAAATTTAAAATAAATAAATAAATTGACAAAAACCAAACCAAAACCCAAATATACATTTTTATTTGGGTTTTTGTTTGTTTTTGGTAAATGTTTTTAATATTTTCTCCAAATTGTTTTATTTTTTAAATGTACTAATCTTAATATATCTAAAAAGTTTTTTTAATTTTTTTTTAAAATATAATAAAATTTACTAATGACAAACAAAAATCCGTTTAAAAACAGGTTTTAAAAAATAAACCAAAGTTTAGGATGCTTTTTTTTAACTAGCATATTTTAAGGTGCCATTAAATTTTAACAAACAGGGTCTTAGTTCTTATCTAGAGAGACCTTTGAAACCTTTTCAGACCGGCAAGTAACAGAATGCTGCTAAAATACCATTAATCAACACAAAAATAAAATAATAATAATAATAAGTACTTAAATACTATTTACTCGGTTTGATTTTCATTTTCAGAATTCACTTTTTAAAAATTTTATTTCTTCATTTTTCATATTTTTTGTTTTCACTAATTTTTTTAATATTTTAAATAACTTTTAAAAATTTTAGACACATCTAAAATAAATACACATAAAAAGTATAATATTTGTGAAAAAATCTTTAAAAAAAATTACTAAATACTAAAAATATAAACAAAATATGAAAATTCAATACATTTCTTATATTTTTATATATTTATTAATTTTTTAAAAATATTTACTAAAAATAAAAATATATAAAAAATAAAAAATTAACTTTTAAAAATTAAATTTAAAAAATTAAAATCAAACACTGATTCTTCTTTTCGTACTTCATTTGTCTTGATTTGTCAAATTAAAAAAAAAAAAAGGTGCCCCTCTGTCCGCCTATCTGACAATGTTGAGAAACTGTGTGGAAACTTCTCTCTGCCAAAATGCAGGGTTTAATTTAGTAGCAGAGATGTTTGACTTCGAAAATTAATAAAGTAACCACCAAATTGTGCCTTGGTGAGCTATAATTGGTTGCCATATAAATTAAAACATTAATCAAGGAACAATGAACTATAGTAATTGCCTCTATATTTTATTCTCCTTTGATTTGTCGTTTTTATGAAATTTGTGCCCAATAATTGGATCAATAGTGCGGAGATATTGATCTCGGATAATTTATTATAAATTAAAAATTGATCATTGAAAAGTAAAATTTAAAATCATTAATTATTTTAGTTTTTAGAAATTAATTTTTTTTTTAATGAATTATAAATAAAAATTACATCAAATTGTATAACACCTAAAATAAAAAAAAGTTATAAGCATATCACATAAACTGCTCGCTACACTATATATTCCCAAATTCTTCAATTCCTTAACAAAACACTCGCACTCATTGAATTATGTTTCAAGATTTGTCTTTTCCAAATATTTATATTTTTACACAATTTAGTAACTGTAAATATTTTAAGACATTGGACAAAGAATCTTGATTAGGGAGAGAGAGAAATGGTTATATTTAAAAGATTATATTTTGGGACGATTTAGAAAGTTAACTTTTAATTTTTAATTTATTTTTCATAATATTACCTCTTACATTTTTTACACACAAAAAAAATTAAAAAAATAAAAAAACTAACTTTTAACCAACATCCCATACCATCCCTTTGAATACAAAACATTAGTCTCAAATCTTAATAAATGACAAAGGACCAGGACAGAAGTCACATAATGGCATCATATTAATCATGACATAGTAGTACACTATACAAACAGCATCCTCATATGGGCCACTGAGAACGGAAAATTCTAGAAAGAGGATCAAATACACTTGGGAAGAGGTTCTAACAAGGTTGAGAAAAATGGGTTAAATTAGCATAATGATAGGGATTAGCATAGAAGAACTAATCTAGAGAGAGAGAGAGAGAGGAGGGTGATTGAGATGCTTTGGACTTCGTCTACATTACATAGTAGTAGCCTGAGATGGGACAACAGGGCAGAGCTCAATAATGGACCCATAATCAAGCAACTCCTCAATCATTTGCTCAATGTGATCATCTTCAAGAGCCTTGACCTGTTGTTGTGTACCCTCCATTTGTTCTTTCTTCACAACCCAACTCTCCTCCTTCTGTGGCGGCGCCACCGCCACCACCGGTTTCATCTCCGGCAACCACCCAACCATTTCATTCCCATTGCGAATAATGCAATTGGTGTCAACAACATTTGGAATTGGAACTCTTTGTGACACTTGCATTGATTGCTGAGTCAATTGAAGTGAAGCCATGTAACATTTGTGCAATTTGGCTGTCAAAGTAGCCGAGAGAAGTTTCGACGACGACGACTGCGACGACAAATTCGGATTGTAAGGGAAGTTGGTTCGGGCCCTGGGCCCACACATTAGCCTTGCGGCCTCGTCGTAGGCTCGAGCCGCATCCTCTGCCGTTTCGAATGTTCCTAGCCAAATTCTAGTCTTTCTGCACAAAAAAAGAAACGTTTCTTTAGTTACCAAAGAAAATGAAGATAAATAATAAAAAAAACTGATCGAGAAAAGTTCGTGGTTAGGTCAGCTTACAGTAACGGGTGGCGAATTTCGGAGACCCAAGAGCCCCAATGCCTTTGTCGGACTCCGCGGTATCGCTGTTGTGGTCTGGCCATGGTTGGTGCTCAATTGAAATGTTTCTTGTGGCAAGGTGTTTGTGAATATGTCTGAATGAGAGAGATGGGTAGTGAATTTTGGGAGGGAGAGGAGGGAGGGATTGGGGGGGTTTTTGTAGTTGGGATTGAAGTCCTTTTTTTCTTGGCTTACTGGCAACCAATTTAAGCCAATGGGACCCACAAGACTTTGTTTGGGGCTCTATTACTTACCAGTTGGCTTGTTTGCAAGTGACATATGATTATTGAATAAATTGGTGAAAACAAAAAAAATTCAAAAGTGGCCAAATTTAACTCACATGAGCATAATAACACCCTTTATTCCACAAAGAAAAAAAAAATTAATTAAATAAAAAAATCTCAATCTTGTGGGGTTTTATTCTATTGCCTAGTTCAAGAAAATCTAGGCTCGTAGTCTCATAGATTCTTTATGTGATTGATCATGACTCAATCAAAAGCTCTTAGAAAAAAAGTAGCTTAGTTATAGGAAAAAATAAATTGATGTCATGGTTGAAATTGTAAATTTAAATGTCACCCTTGGATTGTCCTTAGTTATTTGTTATATATTGGAGAGTTTTATGATGTGGTCAAGAAGGATGATTAGCCAAGGCAGTTATGCATATTATATATATAATAATAGTTTAAAATACTTGCGGGGTCTTTAGATTCCAATATCTTAATGTAATTTTTTCATTATCGATATTATTTGTTATACAGGGCTCTTTTTATGCACTCTTAACTATAATTAATTTTTAAATCTGATTAAGTGCATGCATATGTACAATCAGCGATAAAACCATAAAGAGATTATAGGGCCCTCACTATTTGAACATTGCAAATTGGGATATTAATACATTATATATCTTTTTATAACATACATAGCATAGTCCCTTAATCATTTATTTGATTTGCTCTTGCATGTAGATTTTTAATACTACATAACACAAAACATTTTTGTACAAGTAGGACACAATTGCTTAGATTATTTTTTATAGTATTTCATATGAATGAGATTCTTGTAGGATTGTGATTATGTCATTAAATAAAATGAACAATTGAATATCCAATAATACTATACTTACCCTATTCATACCATTTTTAGTTACCATCTCCTATGACAGATTTACTACTATTAATGTAATGTGTTTCATATAGTCGTATTAAAATCAAACAGTTGTAAATGTGTCATATGAAATGCTCAACTAAAAGTGATATAACAAAGATATCAAATATAGCGTTACTGTTGGATTGTATCATACAATTATGAGAGATAAGTTATATAGAATGAACTGGTATTATGTTTGATTAGAATTGAAATGCCAAAAACATATGTTGTTAATTAGGAGAACTATTCAATGTTTCGATGAAAAAACAATTCTAATGTTGTGTTTGCAAATCTCTTTTTAAAACTTTCATTTTGACACTCTTGTTTCATATAAGCAAAATTTATTATGCTTAGGCCTCGTTCGGAAACCCTCCATTTTAGTCAAAAAGCCAAAAAATTATTAAATTAGTCAAAAAGTCAACAATCCATACTAAAAAGTCAAAAATTCTCTTTTCTCTCTATTTTTTGCACATCTTTTCGTAAAAAGCTAAAAAGTCATCTCAAACACACTAGTTTTTTTTAGCTCATATTTTAGCCAAATAACCAAAAAGTTACTAAATTAGCATGTTCCCAAACGAGGCCGTAGTTTCACTGTGTAATACTGTACATTTCACACCCATTAGTGACCACCACCCTATAAGTCTGGTTATGTACCTGTGTATAATATATTAATTCATGCAGTCATATCATTTGTGTAAAGTTGAAATATTCATAATAATATTTACTTTATTTTAGTAGAAGAAATTTGTTTCTTAAAATAACTATTCTCATCCTACGAATTCATTGCTAGTATAACAACATGATCTGAAGATAAAAAAAGGTATTTAAATGAATCCAAAGGGCATAAAAATGATTTAGTCAATCTTAGGCTGGGACACATCAATTAAAGATCATAGACCACAATAATTATGCACACAGTGCAAATTATTTAATCGAATCTCATGATTTGGCATGTCAATCGAATGCTTATTGATCATCAACAAAAAAAAATAATTATTATTATAAAATAAAATGGTTAATGTAGCAATGATGCATTATGGTGGTACAAGTTTGTAATTATTACCATAAAACTTTCATTTTCATGCTATTTGAATATGATGATCTCATGGCAAATTGGCAATGTAGTAAGAGCGGATTTTTTTTTTTGGGTGAGTCGGGGGTGTGAAGGGATTTTTTATGGCAAGTCTCACCGATAGAGTTTTTGTTAGTGATTTTTTTTACGGGCATTTGAGAAAGTTTAAAATATTAATACATTTTTATGGCACGCACGTTATAATAATTTATACTTGTTAACAAATGTCTTCGTCAACAAAATCTACAGCATGTTATGTCCTATGAATTTTTAGTTTATCCAAGAGAATGTTGATTTTGTTCTTTAGTAAGTTAAGTCTTGTTTTAAAAAAAATCATGAAGAACAATTTGCTCCATTTTAGAGAGAGCCTTAGGTGAATCTCACGTACATTGATGGAGTTCTTGAGCTATCAGGGTTTTTTTTTTTTTTTTTTAGGGGTTTTTTTTTTTTTTTTTTAACCTTTAAAATGTTAAAATTTTCATTGTATGTATCTATTTTAGATAGAAATGTATATTTATATACACACACACATATGTATATATATATATATATATATTAAACTACTCATTTAGATATTAGCTATGAAATTAAGTTTAAAAAAATGAGAAAATTTACAATTTCTGAATCAAATTCCTTAATTTTAAGAAACTATGAAATTTTGCAAATTTTTTTTGAGAATGGTGAAATTTCGGAGTCACTGTGTAGAGTCTATGAAATTTCAAAATTTATGTATGGAAATTGTAATTTTTATGATTTAAAAAACTATGAAATTTCTCAGTTTCTATGTTTGAGAAACTGCAGAATTTCAAAAAACTCTACAAAGAAACTGTGAAATTTTGTGTAATTGAGAAATTTCTTAGAATTTTATGTAACTAACAAATTTCTTATTAGGAGATTAAAGAGAAACAATACCAAGATGACTATCTGAAATAGATCATTGATGAACAGGAATCTAAACCAGGACCGGACTTCAAATTTGAAAACAATGTGTTGAAGTTTTAAGGAAGGTTGTGTGTACCGAATGATTCCGAACTGAAATGACGAATTTTGCAAGAAGGCCACAACTCAAAACTTTCCATCCATCCATCCATCCAGGAAATACAAAAATGTATCATGACTTGAAACTGAATTTCTGGTGGCCGGGAATGATGAAGGAAATTGCCGAGTTTGTATCGAAATGTCTACATTGCCAACAAGTCAAAGCTGAACATCAACGACCCGCAGGCTTACTTCAGCCCTTACCAATACCGAAGTGAAAATGGGAACATATTACTATGGATTTCATTGTCAGTTTACCTCGCTCCGGTAAAGGTTGGACTCAATTTGGGTTATTGTTGATATATTGACTAAATCTGCTCACTTCTTACCTGTCAAAACGATCTATAATGCGGACAAATTGGCTATAATTTATATTGACGAGATTGTTAGATTGCATGGAGTGCCTGTATCTATTGTTTCTGATAGGGATTCGAAGTTCACATCGAGATTTTGGCAAAGTCTGCAAACTGCATTAGGTACTGAACTGAGATTGAGTAGTGCATACCATCCTCAGACAGATGGCTAGTCAGAAAGGACCATCCAGACTCTGGAGGATCTATTGCGTATGTGTGTTCTTGATTTTCAAGGAAATTGGGAAAGCCATTTACCTTTAGCTGAATTCGCCTACAACAACAACTTTCACTCGAGCATTAGTATGGCACCTTTCGAGGCTTTGTATAGCAGGAAATACCGATCTCCTATCTGCTGGGCAGAAGTTAGAGATGGGCCTTTGCTTGGGCTCGAGATTGTACAGGAAACTACAGAAAATGTGAAACTGATTCAACAAAGATTAAAAACTGCACAGAGCCGACAGAAAAGTTATACGGATGTCCGAAGGCGAGACAGGGAATATGAAGTAGGTGATCATGTCTTTGTTAAAGTGACACCAATGAAAGGGCAGACTCGTTTCGGAGTCAAAGGTAAGCTAGCACCGAGATATGTCGGACCGTATGAGATCATTGAAAAGATTAATCCGGTGGCGTATCAAGTAGCGCTTCCTCCTGAAATGGAGCATATGCATAATGTCTTCCGCATTTCAATGTTGAGGGATTATCTCCGGGATCCCTTCCATGTTATTGAGCCTACCCGTGTAGTGCTAATTGATGACTACACTTATGAAGAACGGCCTATTTAGATTGTGAACCGACGGATTAAGAAGTTAAGGAACAAAGAAATTCCGTTAGTGAAAGTGGATTGGCAAAATTATGGTGGCGTTTATGCCATTTGGGAAAATGAAGACGATATAATGAAACGGTATCCTGAACTGTTCTCCAAATATTGACTTAATGCAAGGTTGCACTTATTTACCATTTTGCCATGGTGAGTGGCCACTACCTATACATCTTTGAGCTCATTACACATAACCAAAACATTTGCTCAGCCTTTTCTCTTGAGTGTATAGCCGACCATGAGAGGGAGAGAGTGAGAGAATTTGGATTTCATCTTGAATTGCTTGGTAATTGAAGTGTAGATTGCTACTTTGAGCTCCCAAACCTTGAATACAAGACTAAGGTAGGACATTCATCTTCTTGCTGTTGTCATAGAATTGATTCTTGCATGATTCGTGCTTTAATTGTAGAGTTAAGTCTTGGTTTCGTTCATACATGTTGATATAGAGCTCATTTCATGCTTGCATGTTTGAATTGTTGAGTTTTGAGTTGAATTCATGGTAAAATGGTACATGCATATCCATAATTTTGTAATGGTCCATGTTTTCAACTTGTTTTTGGATCAATTGGCTCCTTAGAGCATCAAATTGGAACTTCAAAATGATTTAAATTCATGCATGTTTGCATGTTCATATTGTTCTTGAAAATGGTTTGAAATTGGATTTGAATTAAACACCCTTGGGCTTTGATTTCTTAAAATTGAGCTTTGAACCATGTCATTCTGTATGCTT